TCACTTTTCAAAGCAGCAGCCTTTTCACTGCTTCCAGCTAGCTAAAAAGTGATATTTGCAAAAATCACTTTTCATGGAAGGTTTAGCCCCGTGGTGGAGAATTCAGCCTGGAATGGGGAGGTATGTAGGGCGGCAGCTAGGGACTGGGGTGATGTGGTGGATGGATGAGGCGCCTGGGGCAGTATTGGGAACCAGGGGCAATGAACGGAGAGGTGAGCCCAGAAGCACCGGGACTGGCTGTCCATCAGCAGACTCTAAGTTTGGAGCCCCACAGTCAGTTGGGGTGGGGCCAGCTGCCATGTGGTCTGAACATGCTGCCTGCCACCTCAGGGGCTGAAGCCAGAAGCCTGAGTCCCACAGCCACCAGGAAAGTGGGGAATACAGACTGAATGTCTGCTCCTCCAGTGTTTTTGACTTCAGAGGGGGGCAGGATCCTACCCCATCTTGCAGCGCCAGGGGAGGGACTGCTGCTTTGCCCCTGCTGCTATCACTACCTAGGAGGCTGTGGCTGCAAAAAAAACCCCTGGTGACTGCATGTGAAGAAGGCTGCTTTAAGATATGTGAATAATAGCTGCACAAAAAAGTACACCTATTCCATAGACTTCTTATTTCTGTGGAGATCTTCCATCTAAATAAGGGTCAGGCTTAGCACTATTTACATTTAAAAAAACATATGAAATTCATTTCCTGCATATTGAGCTCAGTTCCCTGTGAGTCTCCTAATTTATTTATCACAAACCGTAAACAAAAGTTTTCAACCTTTTTAAAAGCTCACACTCATGAATTGCCCGAGCTGGGAAATCTTTGGAGGCTTTAAAGAACAAATTAGAAAAAATCGACTAGGGATGATCTAGGCATCCCTAATTCTGATTCAGCATGGGGGGGTGACCTAGATAACCTCTTGAGGTTCCTTTCAGCCTGTTATTTGTAAGTTTCTGTGCCCGTATGAGGACTAGGGGAGTATGACATTTTAAGGTTAAACAGTTTTATGTTGTATTTTTTTTTAAATCATTCTCACTATTGTGCATTTTAAAGTTTTTTTTTCATTTTTGCATAACTGAAATCTGGCTTAAATGCCATCAGTCATTCTCTTGGGCAATTTTTGAATATTATGAGCAGCTTCAATAGAGTTTTAAAATGGAATGTGTGTGCAACTTTACTGTTGAATTGGTGCAGTACAGTATAACACAGTAAAAAAAAAAACATTTCTGGGCCAGTTCCTTGACTTAAGCAGCGGGGAGATTGCAGAAGTCACTTTGGGCTGAGTTAAGAATAGAATTTAGGACTGTCTGGTTGTGTCTACACTGCCATTTTTAGTGCTAATATTTTAGTTGTTCAGGAGCATGAAAAACCATTCTCCAAGCGACAAAAAGTTTTAGCACTGAAAAGCACTGGTATAGACAGTGCTTTGTCTTTAAAGTTAAATTGCACCCAATATTTTCCCCAGGTCTCCTCCACTTAACCATAGAGCATCTCTCTCTCTCTTGTTTTGCTTATGGTACAGGAATGACTAAGAAGCCATTAAAGATAGGAAAGGTCAGATAGGTTAAAGAAAGTGGCCATGGGATTGGAACTTTTTAAATGATAAGAGTACTTCAACCAGATGGAGTAAGAGGGCCTGATGAAGGGAAGGAACAGCTTTCTTCTATGGATAAGAGGGCAATCACCAGTGTACATAGACAGTGTAATGCTCCTTATCAGGCCCACTGACAGGGTGTGTGCGCCTGTGCATGCAAAGGAGGCAGCTACCCTGGGGCCTGGCAATTTGAAAGTCCATTATAGTAGCAGTGGCCAGAGCACCAGATTTAAATTGCTATTGGAGCTCCAGACGGCACTGGAGGGCTGGCTAGGGGAGGCTAGCTTCTAGCCCCACTTCTCCAGCCCAAGGCCCTGCCCCTTCCAGGAGCCTCAAGGGCCCCCTCCTTCCATCACCTTGCCCAGGGCTCTGTCAAGTCCGTCAGCCACCCTGCTGCTTACATAAATTGGTAGGAAAGAGAGCCCTTGACTTGACTTAGCACCAGCAATGTGAAAGGTGAGTACGGGTTGTCAGGTTACCCCATGTTCCTAGGGCAGCTTCTCACCTCTTTCTCTTGGTGCTCATCCTTCACTCCAGGAAGTGGGTTTCAGCCTCCTAGACCCTGTCCCCCTGTACTATTAGGGTAGCTGGCTTGTAACCCTGCAAGTTCCTTGTAGCCTCTTCAATTCTTTTTCCCTTCAGATCAGAGGGCCTTAACACATGACAAAAGTGTGACTGTAACAAGATACATTCACTTTTGCCTTTGAATGTGACAGCATACCTGAGTTGTAAGCACGTTTAGCTACAGTTGTGGCTCCTATTTATTTAGAAAAATGCTGATTGGTCCTATGTTCTCATAGCACTTACTCAGCAACCAAGTCAAATTGAACATTTCAGTCATGGATACCTGTTCAGAAAGTGAATGGTTTTGTCTCTAATAATTTAAATGATAAAAAGAGCAATAAAAAAGATTTTTCCATTTGCAACATATATCTAAGATTGGATTATGTAATTACAATAATGGGAAGAACTTTATTAAGTGAGTGTAGTTTTCAGACCTGTTGTATTAGTCAGAGGTTCAGTATGTGCACACACTGGTTTTAATAAATTGCTGGCTCTGGCTAGCAGTTTAAAATGATGATTCATCAGTAGCACTAGATTTTCCTTATAAAGGAAAAAAAGTTTGTTGTCTGCTTATTTTTTTCTGAAACTTCAGCTGTTGATGTAAATCAATGGAATTGCCCTCTTCCGAACAGTTTAATGTGATTTAATACAACCAAAACAATGTTCCTACGAATTAAACTTTCATCTACAAGAACAGAAAGTTTACAGCTAACAGAATGACATTTGTAATTAGGCTTTCTGATATATGGAGGGAGACTAAATACCTGCTGTTTAGATATGTAAGATGCTTAGCACAATGGGGAAAGTCAGTGATTTTCACCAAGGACTGGCCTGGAAGATTCAGGCAGCCTGAGCATACTTTTTCGGCAGCTCATCAAAGTGACTGAATGAACAACGTGGAAGGCATTGTGTGATACTGTACTGTGTTCATGTACATATGTATTAGCCGCACATACAACATGCTGGCTTATGCCCTCGCTTAAGGCTGCGTTTAGAATACATATGCTGCAGATCGCCTAGCATGAGGCACTGCTTAGGTGAGTAAAAACATGTCACAGCCTTAGGATATGTACTTTTTGTGGCTTTGCACACACCAAGCAGTACCTTCTTTTAGCAGTGTAGTGTGCCACTGCTGCCTGATGTCCGGGGTTTTCCTTGCTAAACAGAAAGACTCCTGTGGCGGAGAGAGGGGAGAGCTGTCAGGAAAGGCGCCTGTAACTCCTCACTGCAGAAGCCTTTTTCCCACATGGAGAACTGGAGTAACTTTTCCCCACGCCCTTCCCTCTACCAGAGCCATTCACTACTTTGTGTAGATCAGTGTTTCCCAATTTTATTTGATCATGGAAACCTTTTAAAAAAAAAAGGGGTGGGGGTGGGTGGGGAGAGTGGAAATACTGTCGAGCAAAAAAACAAAAAAAAAATGCTGGCCACAGAGCACTACTTGGGAAACACTGGTGTAGATACATACTGGGGACATGAAAGTTTAACCGATTAACCAATCAGCATTACTTTAAACAGGTAATGCTTACTGGTTCTGGTTAATCACAGGGGTCAGAGCAGCTCCCTGCTCACCCCACTGCTACAGGTTACACACTGGCTCCCCAGAAACAAGGCTGGCAGGCCCTGCTCTTGGAGAGACAGCTTCCTCCCTGAGAGGGGGGCCGACAACTCTTGCTGGCTTCACTCCTGGGGCAGCGGTTTTGCCATGGCAAGGAAGCCTCCTCCGTAGGAGCTAGGCCGGCAGCGCTTGAAAGGAATTAATTTACTGTTCTCAGCTTTCATGCTGTCTTCCTCCCAAATACCAACCCCTTTTAGAAATGGTATATGTTGGACTGCAAGCAAAAAGCTGAAAGTGGTTTCCTTTCAGCACCATATTTATCCACTCTTCTATTTTAATCTCTTCTTCCTTCACTGTTTTTACCTTAATCTATTGTTTGCTCCCCATATCTTCTGTCCATCACTCCTATCCATTCTGTCTTTCTCGGCCATTCACTTTACTGCCTCTCCACCCATTCAGTGCATGTTCACTGCTTTGCTTTTTCCTATTCCCATGAAATTCTCTATTCACTCGTCTTTCCATCTACATTTTCTGTCTCTTCTCTCCATACACACCCTCCCATTTCCAAACATTCAGGCTCTCTCCATTTTCCCCTCTATTTCCTATTTCTGTTTCTGTGTCTCTAGTGCATGCACACACATACACCCATATATTTTTCATCTGAGCGCACAACATACCAGTTGAATCCTGTTGCTGCTCTACAGAAGTGCTCCAGCATAGGCGGGCAGAATGCATTTTGCAAGAGGCAGTGCTCTAGCAGCCCAGAGAGAGGACCATCATGGTCTCAGCCCTGGTTCCTAAACATGTTCATTTTGCGAATCATTTCCTACAGTAGTGCACCTCTCCTATACACCTCTTCTCACTTAAAATACTAGGAAATGTGGTAAGTACCAAGCATGCACTGGAAGAGGGGTGAACCAGATGATTGAATGAGCCTTTTCACTCCTGACTGCTGTGATTCTATCAACTCTCTGATAGTACATCATCCCTGTTGGAGCTCTAGTGCTTGGTTACACAGAAAAGTCATATTGGGACAGTATTAAGGAGGTGAGAGGAAATACGCCTGCTGTCATGGAATGGTTGCAGCTGTTTGGCGCGGTTCCCTCCCTTATGGAATATAAACCTGTTGAATACAGTATTTTCTAGTCTTAACGCTGACAGTGAAAGCTGCTTTTTTGAGTGTTGCTAAAGTAGATAATAGATTCCTTATTTTAGTTTCCTTTTAAATATAGTTTGTCATCCATTTTGTAGAGGTCACATTATTCTCTCGGGCAACACTGATTTTTATATTTACAATTTCAGGAATGTTTTAAGGGAAGCTGGGCCACTCACAAGTTACTTCACAAGAAAGCAAGTAAGTAAGCTCCCTGTGTCATCTTAATTCAGTTTTGAATTTGTACAGGAAGACTAACTATTCTTGCTGTTACAAGTGTTCAGGTTTTTTTTTTCACTCTAGTTTGAAAATGCAAAATAAGGGGCAAGTTATATGGTGTACACTGCTCTGTATCTTTACTAATGTGCATGAATGTGTTAGAGTGGTTGTAGATTTTTCTGAGATAGCAATGTGCACTGCAAATCTAAGATTCAATTTAGGTCCTAAGCTAAACTTTTACAATAGAGCTAGGTAAAACTTCAGAGTTTGGGCGTAGAAATCTATTTCTATTCATGCCATATCCATGTGTGACTGAAATATTGTTGAGACTTAAACTGCCAGGGTCGTAAAGAGGGAAAGGAGATCAAATTATGGCATTGAAACATTGCCAGATTTCTTGCATTATGTGTTTTTTAATGCCTGAGGCTAAAAAACCAAAAATTTGAATGGTTATGCTAAAACGGAAATATCCCAGAAGCTAGAGTACAGCTGTGCTTAATATTTAGTGCTTATCTATAACATCTTTCTACGTAGTGTTACCAGTGGGTAATGTGCTCTCTGCCTGGCGGAGGGGGAGGAAGTGGCTCTGTATGCTGCTCTTCCCCCTGGTTTGGGGAACGGCAGCGCAGGAAAGCTAGCACACCCCTCCCGGCTTTTCCCCCATTGCTCCCATTGGCCAGGAAGCTCAGCCAATGGGAACTGTGGGAGGCAGTGCCTAAAAGAGCTGCTACCTGTGCCCCAGTACCCTCTGGGAGCTGGTAAGTGCCCAGATCCCCAGTCCCCTCCCAGACCCCAAATCCCCTGCACCCTCCCCCACTCCTTCACCCCAGCCCACTTCTGCACCCTCTTTCTCTCCCTCCTGCCCTGACCCACAATCACCAGCCCACTTGCTGGAAACCTGCTCCTGCGCACTGAACTCCTCATTTTTGGCCCCACATCAGAGCCTAGAGGGCCCCCACAAAATCTACTAGCCCTGAGCCCCAAGAATACAGGCAGTCCCCGGGTTGCGTACAAGATAGGGACTGTAGGTTTGTTCTTAAGTTGAATCTGTATGTAAGTCGGAACTGGCGTCCAGATTCAGCCCCCCCACCCACACACACTTCCCTACCTTACCTACTTTACGCTCAATAAGACTTTTGTTCCCAGAATAAAATATCATGTGTGTTTTTGTTGTTTTATATTGGGAGCAGTAGAGGAAAAACACCAATGATTTTTTTCTAGTTTAGGCTCTCTCAAGGCAACTCTTGGCACTGTAGTATTCGGTTCTGGTTCACTTTACACCATTGCAGTGGTGGCATAGGCAAGTAATATACAAGTATTTTAGATGCAATGGTGGAATTAATCTTCCCAGTGCAATCCCACAGTGCTCCTGCCCACTTGTCATTGTCAGGTTTGACAGCTCAGTATAAATCTACTCGCTTTACAGTAGATTTATTTACTCGCCTGAGAGGTCTCGTATTCTCCCCATTTTGGGAATAGGTGGTTGGTTTGTCTCAATAACATGCAATTTATTTTTTTATTTTTTTATTTTGCAGAAGATGAAAAAGCTAAGCGTGAAATTTCTTCTTGGACTATGGAAGGTGAAATAAATACAGATCCCTGGGCTGGTTATCGATATACTGGTAAACTCAGGCCACATTATCCACTAGTAAGTGGCTGTATTATCCACTAAGAGTGGCTGAAATAATCTTCTTTTTCCAAACACTGCTAGCAACAAAATCAGAGCAAGGAAATTCCTTGGCAGTTGAGTTCTAAGCCCACTTAGGGTGTGTCTACACAGCAAAGTTATTTTGGAATAATGGCTGTTATACCGAAAGAACAATGTGAGTGTCTATACAACAATTCTGTTATTTCAAAATAATTTTGAGATAATGGACAACTTATTCCAAAATCTGTAACCCTCATTCTACGAAGAAGCTATTTCGAAATAGAGGCATGCGTAGACGCTCCACTTCTGCTATTTCAAAATAGCACCTTACTAGGGCCATTCTAAGTTATTCCCCCAGGAGCTCTAAATCAAGATAGTACGTCTACATTAGGGAACTCTGTCTTGGACTAATTTTGAGGCTTCCCTGCAGTGTAGACATGCTATTTCAGAATAACTATTCCAGAATAGCTTATTCCAAAAATACCTGTGCAGTGTAGACGTAGCCTTAGAGAAAATGGTTAGCTATGAATATTATCACCTGTTACATAGGTGTGTATATTGTATATTTTAAGACTATCTAGTGTGATCCTTTCATTCATAGATGTCTGGTATGGGATGTTTTATGGCAGCAAATGGCCCAGCAGGGCAATCCCCTGGTGGGCCATGAGACATTTTGGTGACATTGACCATTTGCAACCACTCTGCCCTCCCCAGCTGCTGCCTGCAGCTCACAGTGGCTATGGTTTGCCATTCCTGGTCCATGAGAGTTGTGGGAAGTGGTGGGCCACAGGAATGTGCCTGGCCACTGCTTCCTGCGGCTTCCATTGGCCAGGAATGGAGAACTGCAGCCATTAGGAGCTGCACATAATATTATAGGTTGGAAATTAATCTCACTGCAGGGGAGTAAGGGGAGGGAGAATAATTTTAAAATACTCAAATAAACAAAACCTAAAATTACTGGAGATTTATTTAATTATATTGGGGTAGAGTTTCAAAGTTATGCACCTAAATCCCACTGAAAGATGGATTTATGATGCATCCAATCTGTGTGATCCTGTAGCCGTATTGCTGCCAACACCTCACTATTGTTTCCATGGCTACGAAGTATTAAAAAAAATGAGCTCATGATCCTGCAAAACTTGCATACGTGTTTGACTTTATGCCCTGAGTAGTCGCATGTAAGTCAATGGGACTACTCATGGCATGGAAGTTATGTTTGTGTGTAGAATGGTTTTCATGAGAAAGATATACTGGTTTAATTTAAATCAGTTTGATAACTGGTGTAGTGAAACTTGCACAAAACATTGTGTAGATAAACCAAAATAGGAGTATTTTAAATTGGTAATACATCTATTTACACTTACTCGATATAGGCCATTCTTAAAGTCAAATAAGATGGTTTATACAGATTTTTGTGCTAGTTTTACTAAATCATTTAAAAACACACTTTTATGCAAATTTATGGGTAGACAAGGCCTACATTTTGCAGGATTAGGGCCTAAATTATGGAAATGACAAAAGAAAATACATTAGTTGTCTGTCCAGGTGTGGTGGTCTAGTGGCATTTTATTTGTGCCTTTATCTAATTTACTTATAGTGTAAACTGTAGTACCTAAGAATATTTGTTTTTCTCAATGTATTGCAGGTAGGTAGAACAGCCTGATACAGTTTGATCACATCCCAGATTCCGTGCATTTATTGGGATGGGGGAATGGGGAATACTGATCCACTAACCTGGGCTGCACAGCATCACCATCATTGAATCCTTGCCTTCTTGACTGCTGACATCTTCTTGGCTGCTAAAGACTGAATGTTATGAAACCCCAGTACAGACTGATAACAAATGGAATGTTATTTAAACAAAACTAAGGGGATGCGCACGCTGCTCGCTATGCTCGCCAGCCTCCTCCCTTCTGGCGGCTTTCACAGCCAGAGAGCATGAGAGTGTGATGATGTCATTCTGTTGCCTGGCAGGAAAAATCTTTTTTATTTATATAGAGAGAGATAGTTGAATCTCATTAATTTGTACTAATTACTGGAGAGATCTGTCTGCAATGAGTGAATTTTGTTAGTTGGAGTAAGTGAAGAAAGATAACACATTCCAAAATTGACATGTGAAATGTGATTTTTATGAAGCTTCACATGAGAGTACTAAAGGTTCTGTAGTATAAAAGCAATGAGGGTATAGAGCACTTTTCTGAAGTCTCCTATTACTATTACTAAATCTTTGCTGAGAAATGAGCAGAGAGCATTATTTCTATGTATGTAAACTATAAGGCATGGGATTAGCAATCAATTTGATTTGCCAGGTTTGACTGTATTAAGTTTTTATGTACGGGCCTTTGCTTGTTCTTTATGACTATATGTGCTTTTACAATTTAACTAGTTTTGACTTTGCTTCATTTAGATGCCAACGAGGCCTGTGCCAAGTTACATTCAAAGACCGGATTATGCTGATCACCCACTAGGTAATTTGAAATGCACTACAATTAAAAAAATTTAGTTTTTTGATATAGGCTGCAGGTATTCCTAGAACTTGTTATAACAAAGTATGAGAGGAATTTAATAGTCCTTTTGTGATAAGATTGCTTATGTATCATAGATACTCCAGACTTTCTAGTGCCTTATCATTCACAGGTCATTTTGATTTTTGAACTCTGTTTTCTCCAAATGTGCCTTCCTGTCTAACAAAGTACATGTAACAAGGATTATTTAAAAAAATTAACTTGAAAGGACTGATTGTATAAAACTATTCCCATTGACATCAGGGCCCCTGCTGTAAGTGTACTTTATAAAATGACCCATAGATATTTTTGCATGACTTTTTTTTTCAACAGCAATCCTTGGAGAAGACAAACTATTGCACCTGGCATACTAGTGCTGGATCTTATTTCTGGAGAAAGAGTCTTCAAAATCTATTTAATTCTTCAGTTACTTTGCTTCTTCTTTTTTACACTGGGAAATGCTAATAAGTTAATGTTAGACAATAAATAAGTGTTACTCAGAAACCATTTTAACCCTTAGGCAAACTTAAATTATTTAACTTAATATCAAAATAATACACAGTACTGATTTTGGTAGTCATTGTTTATTCTTAACTGAAATTTCAAAACTGATGTTGTAGAAAGCCACAATGTGAATAAGTTGAACACTTTTCCATCAGACAAGTACAGCAATTATTGCATTTTTGCTACAGAGAGATAGCTACTATCACAATCTTTATAATGCTCTCTGCCTCCTGTAGAAAATTATTCATTCCACTAGCTTTAAAGACTAGCAAAACATGTAGATGGTATCGTGAGCTTTTGTGGGAACAGCCCTCTTCTTCAGATGACCAGAAAGCTGGAAGTCCAGAATCAAGAATAAATAAGGGGGGGAAGGCGAAATTTGGGAAGAGGGGAGGAAAGAGGACATTGGGTAGATAAGTTTCAAAGGGATAGCCGAGCTAGTCTGTAACAGGAAGAACTTAAAACAACAACGAATAGTCTATTAGAACCTTAAAGACTAAATAGTTAAAAGAGGCTGATAAGAACCATTCGTTTGCACTAGGAAAGGAAGGGATGTCTACACTGCAAAGTTAATTCTAAATACCAGCCGTTATTTCAAATGAACTTTAATAGCGTCTATACATGCAAACCGCTATTTCGAAATTAATTTGAAATAGTGGAGCGCTTAATTTGAATTTGGTAAACCTCATTCTACGAGGAGTAACGCCAAATTTGAAATAGCTGTTTCAAATTAAGTGCTGTGTAGACACTTAATTCAAAATAGGGGGCCTCCAGCCCTTCCCAGGGAGCCCTGGTGGCCACAACCAGGAAAACTTACTCTCCTCCCTCCCAGCCCCAGAGCCGTTAAAGAGGTAGACCCTGGCCACAGTGCCTATGCCAGCTCCAAGCTTGCCAGCCCAGAGCGAGCAGTGGCCGCCGGGGCCCCTGACCCAGTGGCCCCAAAACAGGAGCCAGCAAGCCACTGGCAGGCACGCCCCCCCCCACTGCTAGCTCCCAGGAGCCTGACGGGGCTGGAAGAATGCGGGCGCCTTCCTGGTCCAAGGTGGAGATCATGGACCTTATTCAGGTTTGGGGGGGGTGCCCCCAACGTCCATGATCTCAGCACTAGATGGAGGAATGCGGCCTTCTATGGCAGGATAGCTGACAGACTCGCCCACAAACAGGGCGTAGATCATGGACCTTATTCAACCCCAACGTCCTTGATCTCCACACTAGACGGAGGAACATGGCTGTCTATGGCAGGATAGCTGCCAGCCTGGCCACCAAAGGCCACATGTGAACCCAGGAGCAGGTTTGCATGAAAATCAAGTTGGTCCGGTGAGACCTCCAACCCTAGGCCCTGAGCTTCCCATCCCCCTTCTTCCCCTTGCTTTTCCCTTCCAGCTCCCTCTTCCCAGGTTTCCCCCTCCCCTCTCTCTTCCCCTCTCCCACCTCCTTTCCCCAGTCTCCCCGGAGATTCCTTGCTCCCTCGCCCCCTCCCCAGTTTTGTTCAATAAACCAGTTTCTATTTTTGAACATTCGTGTCAGGGAGGGGGGCTAGGGAGGGGTAAATGGAAAGACATGAGGGAGGAATGGGGCACGTTCCCCCGTTGGGGAGGACCGGGGTGGCTCTGAGGGCTCATCAGGGTGGATGCTCTCCCGCAGGGCCTCCTAGATCCTGATAGCCCACCAATGGACCGCTCTCCCCCGGATGGCAACCTGCAGCAAGTGCATGCGGGCTGATGGCAAAGACCCCACAAGATGCACCAGCGTGCCCAGGGGCAGCTCTGGCTCCATGTGGCCAAGTGCTGTGGTGTCCTGAGTGCGGGCACTCAGGGCACTCCAAGACAGGACTGCTTTGCTGTCCCTCATCGAGGTAGACAAGCAAGCAGGGAAACCTGAGAACTGTCGCTCTGGGGTGGGAGTAGGGTCCCTTTAAGCACAGAGCTCAGTTAGCCTCAGGCAGCAGCCCCACACACTTAAGTCCTAATCCGATGCCCTGCCGGCACTGGTTCTGGCCATCCTTAATCTCAGTTCAGGGTCCACTCAGTGTGGACATGCTAGTTCGAATTAGAAAAAAGCGTAGATGTGTTAATTCAAAATAGTTAATTCGAATTAAGTTAACTCGAATTAACGCTGTAGTGTAGACATACCCGAAGAGTACTAACACCAGATTCTACACAGACATCAAGAAATATTGGCACCTTCATTTGTTTTGTTGATTGATAATGTGCGAGCTATCCGATATCGCGATTTAGACCTTTTGCTGGAGTTAAACTTGAGAATGAAGTGTAATTCCAATCCTTCTCTGTGTATTTGACTTGTGGTATTGGTCTGAAACAGAACAGCAAGTTCTAGATCCCTTAATGAGTGTCTAGGGAGGTTAAAGTGTAGAAATACGTAGAATACCCTTTACACCAACGTTCCACATGAAGACGGATTACAGGTCAGAAACACCATCCCTGATGACAGCACTGTGCACCTGATTACAGAGCTCTGTGACTTTGTCGTCACCCACAACTACTTCAGATTCAGAGACAATTTGTATCTTCAAGTCAGTGGCACAGCCATGGGCACCCACATGGCCCCACAATATGCCTACAACATCTTTATGACTGACCTTGAACATCGTTTTCTCAGCTCTCCCTTAACCACCCTTACTTTACTTACGATCTGTCCACACGAGAAATCCACTTCCTTGACACTACAGTCCAATTAAATGATGGACAAATTTCCATCGGCCTATACCGGAAACCTACCGACCGCTACACTTACCTTCATGCCTCTAGCTTCCATCCCAGACACATTTCTCGATCTATTGTATACAGCCAAGCCCTAAGATACAACCGAATTTGCTCCAATCTCACAGAGACAAACACCTACTGGACCTATATAGAAACAAAAAATAAGACTGTGTAGCACTTTAAAGACTAACAAGATGGTTTATTAGGTGATGAGCTTTCGTGGACCAGAAAGCTCATCACCTAATAAACCATCTTGTTAGTCTTTAAAGTGCTACATAATCCTGTTACATAATCCATAAAGTGCTACATAATCCAGCTACACCAGACTAACACGGCTACATTTCTATCACTGGACCTATATAGAGCATTCCTAAAACTGAAATATACCCACCTGGTGAAGTGAAAAAACAGATTGACAGAGCCAAAAAAATATCCAGACATGAACTACTTCAAGACAGACCCAAAAGAGAAAACAACAGAATTCCACTCATCACCACCTATAGTCTACAACTTAAACCCCTCCAGTGCATTAGCCACGTCTACAACCTATCTTGGAAAACGATCCTTGGGGGAAAAGCCTATTCTCGCTTACAGACAACCCCCTAACCTGAAACAAATCCTTTCCGGTAACCAGACTACACAGCTAAATCATAAGGATCCAGGAACCAACCCTGCAGTCAACCCCGGTGCCAATTCTATGCTCTCACATCTATACAAGCGATTTCATCACTGGACCCAACCACATCAGCCACAAAATCAGAGGCTCATTTAACTGCACATCCAGTAATGTGGTCTATGCCAGCAGTGATATACAGGGCTTGCTGAGTGGCGGCGAGCCCTGCTCACCAGCCGCGTGGGTCTGCGCTCTGCACATGCACAGATCGTTCAGCGCATGCGAAGATTACTCCGTGACGGCTCTTCTAGGGTGTAATCTACTCACCATGGGCGAGTAGATTACACCATTTGTCGAGCCCTGGTGATATATATTGGACAAACTGGACCCTACAGGAAAGAATTAATGGACACAAATCAGATATCCGAAAAGGCAACACACAAAAACCTGTTGGGGAACACTTTAACCTCCCTGGTCACTCATTAAGGGATCTAGAAGTTGCTGTTTTGTTTCAAACCAATTCCACAAGTCAAATACACAGAGAAGGATTGGAACTACACTTCATTCTCAAGTTTAACTCTCATGCAAATGGTCTAAATCGCGGTATCGGATGGGTTGCCCGTTATCAACCAACCAAATGAAAGTGCCGATGGTTCTTGATGTCTGTGTAGAATCTGGTGTTAGTACTCTTCCTTTCCTAGTGCAAACTAATGGTCCTTAATCAGCCTCTTTTAACTATTTAGTCTGTAAGGTGCTAATAGACTATTTGTTTAAGTTTTTCCTGTTACAAAGTTGGCTACCCATCTGAAACTTTTGTTTCTTTAAAGCATCTGATGTTGGAGTTAAAAGCATGTGTTTTGAGCAAGACTGAGAAATTGATTATGGGCGTTATGGGAGTTAACTTTCTTTATGAGCATTTAGTGTGGAGGTGTGGAAGTGGGGAGATTGTGTAGGAAGGCATGCAAATTGAGGTTAGTCACATGTTAACCTTGCCATGACTGGTATAAGTGTGGTATGAGTGTGTTTTGTGGAAAGGAAGTACATTTGTATTTAAGTCCACGAAAAGAGATTTTGGTGTGTTTATATACTATAAACGTGTAAAATTGAACCTAAATATAATCCAGATTTTTTTATGATTTTTTTTTCCAGGCATGTCTGAATCAGAACAGGCACTTAAAGGAACGTCTCAAATAAAAATCCTCTCATCTGAAGATATAGAAGGGATGAGAGTAGTGTGTAGGGTGAGCTTATTTTACAGAATGTATATCCTCTCCATAAACTTAGAGAACTTGTGATCTTGCTAGTGTGTGACAATTCACTTGAAGAGTATAAACCTTGAAAATGCAGTTGTACTCTGAGAAGTGACTAACTAAAAATTGGCATGGTTCTGTCTCTGCTTCTCTCCCAGCAACTTCAGATTAAATTGTCTTATTTTGCAAGCGAAAAGGTGATTTTTCTACCTCTTGTCACTACAAAATCAACCTTAGATCTGAAAGTTAAGCTGACTGCTGACTAACAGGACTAACAAAATAACTATTTATTTCAGCCTCCAAAATAAGTAGATCTGTTGAATAAGAACTTCCGAGTTGTAATTAGTTTCTTGATCATAACCATATTTCCAGGTTTAAGTGGTTTATTTTACTTGGCAGGATTGTAAATCTAATTATTTATAAACAGTGAGTGGGATTTTCAAAGATGTCCGAGTGATTGAGGAGCACAAGTTCCATTGACTTTTCAGAAGTCCCAGTCTTCCCTTGCATCCTAGTACAACTTCCCTACTATTCTGGTTGTAATCACAGGAGATTGAGTAACCCCAAAGGGGGGAGGAATCTGTGTTCTAAGTGACTCAGGCTGTGTATAATTTTGAATAAGTAGTTCCTGATGTCATCTTACAGCTCGCTAGAGAAGTGTTGGATGTTGCTGCAATGATGGTGAAACCAGGCATAACTACTGAAGAAATAGATCATGCTGTCCATCTAGTAAGGATACTTTATCATACTTTTGGATTTGCACAAGCTCTCTCCTCCCTTTTCTTTGGTATGACTATGTAGTGTGTGTTACTGCTGAAATGTCTACTTCGATTTTCTTTATTTCCAAACTACCTTTAATTTCCAGCTAAAAAACCCCCAACCAAACAAAAAACCTCACATCCTCTCAAATGAAAGCCACTATATAATAGACATGAGAACAATTCCATTGCTAGAGTGGTAGATTTAAAGCCTTCTACCTCCCCCCCCCCCTTTGCAAATTTGGAGGCTCCAAGGGATCTACTGCCAGGAATCAGAATGGGGCACTTAAGAGAACAGGGATGGAACTGACTGTTATACAAAACCCACCCTCTGCTCTGAAACTAGCTGCCCTGTGCAAATCAGGCAAACAAAGGCCCAAATCCAGCACAGTACTTGAAGTCTAGCAAGTGCTTTCCTGGATCAGGGTGTAAGTTCTAATTTATCTTGATTTTGTGGTTTTCATAAAGCCCACTTAGGAATTTGTTTATATTGGATCTCGGTTGAGTGTAGACTTCACAAAAAGCACAGCAGTTCCCTGAGATCTTGTAATATCAGAGGCAATTAGTAGGGGAGCTTTATGGTAGCTACTTTGCTATCTGCATTTGAGGCAGCTGGGCCAAAAGCAACAGGGAACACCCTGATTTGAGTTGAGAGGAGTGGAGGATGCTGAACCCTCCTGATGGTTCTGGTTTAATATGGTTTTACAAGGGCTAAATTAACCTACTCTTAAAAATTTCAATATGAACAGCCAGCATGTAAATTGTTAGTGCCCCTACCCTCACCCAAAATAGTGTCTGGGTAGTCTTTCAACGACTCACTGATAACAGTGAATAATGGTGTTAACTGTTTTAGGAACAATTTTATTTTTCCAGAATTACTTTTTTTGTGTGTATGTATGTGTGTAGCTGTGTAAGCATCTAAATGGTTACAAAGACAAAAGAAGCTAAACATTTTTCTTTGTTTTAAAAGCAACTTAAATTTTGCTCAGGCTTACATTTTGTAAAAATGAAATTGTATAAATATGTACACTAGCCAGAGTGTTTCCATTGTTTAAAAAAAATCACCCACTCCAAAATAGTTAGCTTTTAAACAAATAAATATTCCCACAAGGTATCGAAGAACCTGAACATTTCAGCATTGATAACTGGAAGTGAAAACATCTGTAAACAAAAGAAAATAAATTAAACTTATTTCACACTGTCAATGTTGAAAGGAAATGCAAAAAGTAACAAACTAAACAAAGTGTGTCATGAGTCTAAACAAATAGGAAAATAAGCATTTGAGGAAATGTAAAGTATCACTTCTAATACAATAATTCCTCATTTAACACGTGCCCGCTTAACACGTTTTTGCGATAGCACAATATTTTTTTAGGGAACGTTTTTTGAATTACACGACTGTCCCTGGAATAACACGATTTCCCCAACCGGCCCGTTGCCAGCAGCTGTGCGGGTCTTCCCCCGCCTCCCTGCAAAGGGGCGGAGGGTTTGTCACTCGCTGCACTGTTCCCCAGTTACCCCCCCTCGCCGGACGCAGTGCAGGTCCCAGCAGACCTGTCAGAGGGGCATACTCCCAACCCGGTCTCCTCCCCTCTCCTCTCCTTCCCTTCCCCAGAGACAAACACCAGTCTCCTTTCTCCCCCAACCTTATGTCCCAGTCCCAACAGACACCATCGCTTGAAATTCAACCCCCACCTTTTCCATTATTTTCAATGGGAAAATTGACCCCGCATAGCACGTTTTCACTTAACACGATCATTTTCTGAAACATATCTATAGAGTTAAATGAGGAATTACTGTACAGAATTAAGATATTGACATTACTCAAAATCTATTCTACTCCTTGACTAATGGCTTTGCTAATCTAAAATGTATTATGTGTATGTTTTCTAAATCTGTTTTAGGCCTGCATTGCCAGGAACTGCTATCCTTCCCCACTGAATTATTATAATTTCCCCAAGTCATGCTGTACGTCAGTGAATGAAGTGATCTGCCATGGAATTCCTGACAGACGGCCATTGCAAGAGAGTGATATTGTTAATGGTAGGTGACATGAAAGTCAGACCTTTCAATAGCTCTATTTGCATCCAGTCTTTACAGCTCAAACACTAGGGTAGGGTTTTGATTTTTAGGGTGGTACATTGTGGTTGGAAGTTGTTTTTCTTCACTCATGAGTTAGCGTTTTGTTATGTGTAGTATCTACGTATCCAAATTCATGGATTGTGTAAAATTCCAACTATACAGAATTAGACAAAAGAACTCAGAAATACTCTTGTTATGACCATATTGCGCACATGTAGTTTCCAGCTGCTATTATTAAATGAGAACCGTTTAACGACATTACACTTCTGCTAGTTCATACCATAAAATCTATAAGATGGACAGTGTGGCTAAGTTAATGTCACTGGAGTTTTGCATGGTTTGAGTTCTGAGAATGCTTTGTATTTAATTACTGTTGTGCCTTAAGCAAAACAAAGGTCAGGAAGTGAGAAGTTTTCTCTTTGATGTTCTTTGCAGTGGATATCACTATATATCGCAATGGTTATCATGGGGATCTGAATGAGACGTTTTATGTTGGAGACGTTGATGAGGGTGCAAGGAGGCTAGTTCAGACAACTTATGAGTGCCTAATGCAAGCAATTGATGCAGGTAAGTACCATTGCTGAAGCCTAAGGTGTCAGGCTGTACTGATTTTTGATGCTAGAACTCTAATGTTTAAACTGCTACTTAGGAATTACTGCTGTTACAGAACCATACTTAATGCGTGTTGCTAGTTGAATACACTTAAACACTGCATAATGCAGGGTCATTCTTAAGTTGCTGTATTTTAGTTTCTGTTGATGGTTGTTGCAAACTTTATTTGGAATGCGCGTTGTTAAGGAAAAGGTGTAATAATCTCTATTTGATAAACTAATTCATATGTGACACTGTGGTTTGTTCATATGCAAACATGTATTTGATTCTCTGCAAGAGAAATAAGGATATGTCTACACTACCACCCTAGTTAGAACTAGGGTAGTAATGTAGGCAACCGGAGTTGCAAATGAAGCCCAGGATTTGAATTTCCCGGGCTTCATTTGCATAAAACCGGGCGCCGCCATTTTTAAATGTCCGCTAGTGCGGACTCTGTGCCGCGTGTAGCCACGCGGCACGGAGTC